GCTGTGTGGCCAACTGGGGGATAGAATCCAGATCTCCTGAGTCTTAGCCCAAGACTCTTCCCATCAAAATACACTGGCTTTCAATTGATCCATTAAAAAAAGCATATTTTTCCTGCTTCTTTTGTGACACCCTGTTTATACACTTTCCTACTACAGGCTAATGAAATATTCTCAAAACCTGTCTCATCATACTAGGTTGTTTGGAAGGGCATTTACTGCCTTAAGAATGTAGGACTACCTGCAGAGGGTCTGAATACAATGGAGAGAAAAGGGAGGCAAATACATCTTTGCCCCTAATTTATTTTGACAGCCTTTTCTGCTGGCTCCTGATGTCATACATTTTGACCTGTTGATCAAATGTTCTTTTTACATTTCAGAATGATTAATGAGCAGAAAGGGTGATTTGCGTTGCAGTATTTGCATATATCATCTGAGAACAAAAGTGATTCATAGTGCTGATTTCAACAACAGTCCCAGCTCAGGGCATTTTGTCACCCTGGGGGAAGGTTTAAAAATGCTTTCTTCATATTTTCAGTGCTGAACAACATGGGATTGGTGCATAAAACAACCTAGAGTTTCTTAAGATACTGTTTTCTTACATTCATTTTTAAATTTTTTTTAAAGTAACTCATGCTGTGTCTCTCAGTCCCTACAGCCTTTGGAACTGAAGCATTCATAGTCTCTGGGAGGTGTGGGAAGATAAAGTTGAGTGTAAGAAGTGAAGAAATGAATGAGGAGTCATGATATCACTGAAAATGGTTATTTCCAGGTTCAGAAGATGAACCTAACCAACTTTTAATGTTCATAAGGTCTTGCAAGTTGTTCCTTAGCAGTTCAGATAGGTACTGAAGGAAGGAAGCACTGGCAGCCATTTTCCTCCTGCCTCTCTGCTTTCTAACAGCATTTTCTCCATCCTTTAGTTCAGGAGAAGCAATTGGACAGTTGGGAATAAAGATTCACAAGTTAGTGGGAGTGATTACTTTCGACAGGGAAAAGAAGTAAGGCATATATTTGAAACCCTGATGAGGGAAGCAGCTTACAACAAGCTGCACTCAGGTTTTTTAAATATTTAGATTTGATTTTTCTGTTAAATGGACAGAAACCTTGGTGAACCTTGCTTTCCTTTATAAACAAAACTGGATAAAACCTACATGAGGCTTTTCCAGGCAGTTGTTGAGCCAAAATGCCAGATTTAGGGGTTTGAGTGCACTGAATGAAAGAAGCCAAATGCTCACTATTCCGAAGTGTTGTTCCCTTGGGCTTCTTTGTGCTGGGGCTTCTTCACAGCCCATCTGTGGCCTCAGGGGAGCACAACTAAATTGCAAGTTGCACTCAATATGTTCTGGAAGCAAGGCTCTTGCTGAACATCAGGAAGAGCATTATGATAATGGAATCTAGGGAGGTCTCTCCCACACTGGAGGGGTTAACAATATTGACCCCCCTTTTTACATTGGTTGGTTTTGTTTTAAAGTGTTTAATGGGGCAGCTCATAAAAGTTGTCTTGATTTTGGTTTTCTGCCTTTGCAATGTTTATTGTGTTGAATTTTTTTTTTTTTTTAGCATTAATGGATTTTGTAAACAACCTCAAGGCATTCAGAAAAATATGAGATCAAATCATTTAAATAAACTCTATGTAATTGCCTTGAGTTGTCTTTTCTTATCTCATTTGCAGAGGTAGAGCATGTCCCTTGCTGTACCCCCAGAGCATGGGGAGTACTCCAGCAAACTGGTTCCCCAGCAAAGCTAATTTCTCTCCACTCATTTTCTTTGCTGGATGTGTGTTCTCCCTCAAAGTTCTAGAGCTTGCAGGCCATGGTGCATCACACTACACTGAAATGCAGCAGCCCACCTTCTATTGTGAGAAACAGTTACAACTAAAAACAATTCCAACAAGGAAAAAGAGTAGTAGAGAACAGAGGAAGCTCATCTGGCTTCACAAAAAGGTAAGAAATAATCTAAAAACAGAAAAGAACATGTATAGGAGGTGGAAACAAGATCAGGCTCCAAATGAAGAATATAAGCAAGTAGCAAAGAACTGCAGGGATGATGTCAGGAAGGCTAAAGTGATGAATGAACCGAGGCTAGCAAAGGAAGCTGAAAACAACAAAAAAGCCTTTGGCAAATACATTTATTTATTTATTTATTATTAAAACATTTTTATGCCGCCCCATTTGCCGAAGCCCCACCGAAGCCTCGGGGCGGCTTACATACATAGCAAAATATAGAGAAAAGAGAAGGTAACTACTCACCATGGATGGAACAATGTTAACAGATTACAAAGAAAAGACAGAAGCGTTAAACTCCTTTTTTGGATCAGTATTCTCCTAAAAGAAGAACTACAACCTTCCTAATTAAAGTACAGTACAAGCTGAAGAGACAGGATGGCAGCCCAAGATTGACAGGCAAATGGTCAAGGATTATCTAACTAGCTTAAATGAGTTCAAATCTCCAGCGCCTGATGAACGTCTTCCCAAAATCATAAAAGAGCTAGCAGAAGAACTCTCAGAATCATTATAATCTTTGAGATTTTGTGAAAGACAGGAGAAATGCCAGATGACTGGAAAAGGGCTAGCATTGTCACTATCTACAAGAAAAGAAAATAGATGAACCTGAGAATTATAGACCAATTAGTCTGACATCAATTCCTGGAGAAATTCTAGAGAAAATAATAAAACAAACAGTCTGCAAACACCTTGAAGACAATGCAGTAATTATTAGAAGCCAAGCTGGATTTCTCAGAAACATATTTTGCCACACTAATCTAATTTCATTTTTCATTTTGACTGGGTAACCTGCCAAATAGACTGTGGAAATGCTGTGAACAAATATCTAGACTTTAGCCATTGACAAATTGCACCATGACATTCTGATTACCAAATTAGCAAAAAGTGGGCTAGATAGAGCAAACATTTTGTGGATCCACAATTGGCTGCAAAATTGGACTCAAAGAGTGCTCATCAATTGCACATTCTCAAACTGGGGAGAGGTGACAAGTGGGGTGCTGCAGGTTCTGTTTTGGGACTGGTACTCTTCAACATTTTTATTAATGATTTAGATGAGGAAGTATAAAGGAAGATAATTAACTTTGCAAATGACACAAAGCTGGGTGTGATGTAACAGTAATGCATTGCTGAAGTGCCATGAGGCTGCCTGCAAAGGAGGAAGTATGGGCAAAAATAAGTCTAGTTGGATTCACCTGGGGTGGTCTTTGGCTCAGCTTACTGAAATCCCTTGGGTCTGCCTATGCTTAGCTGCCCTGCTGCCTGCCCCACCAGCCAGCCCTGACTTTTAGCAGTCATGTACATGATCCAGAATTCACCTTACGTTTGTCCTGACTTATAACTTCCCCTAGAAAGGGCACAGGGACTTCCATTGTCCCTCAAGTTTGCCCTTCTGTGGAATCCTCCTACTTGAAAGCTACTTTTGCTGCTGGAAAAGATGCCTACAAATCATGGATGGACAACCCTTTTCCTTTTGAAGACCACACTGAAACCATCTTTTCACTCCTTCTTTGTTCATATCCATTTGGCTGCCAGGAAAGGACAGATCTATTTTTCTCTGTACTAATCGTGTATACTAGGCCTTTGTAATGAGGCTGAAAGCTTCATGAAATTAGCTTAATTAGCAAAATTAGCTATGTAGGTCTATAGCAATAAGATGCTCACCTTCTCTGCTAAATAGCTACATTTGTAACAAAACACATTTATTATTCCTTAAATGTAAACTGACCTTTCTGTAATTATCTGCAACTGCTGCACTGCTCGCTCCCACACAGATACTACTATAGCGATATATACAGAAAAGAATGCTTATTTCTCTTTCTATGTGGAATTTTTTATTTCTATTTCTTATTTCTATGTGGAAAAATTTGGATGTTGGAAGAGATGCAGAAATGGGCAAATAAAATAAGGGGACGGATGAATTTTTCTATGAGAAAAAAAAGTAGAACATTTGGGACTGAGAAAAGAGTAGTTGACTGTCCACTGTGTGAAAAGAATGGTGGACTAGATGGATCCTCCCTTTGTTCCAGCATGATTCTTCAGATGCTCTTTGAAAGGCAGCAAGTCTGTTTGAAACATCTTACTAAAGTTCCACTGAAATAACTAATGAAGGCCAGTCATCCTCTATGTATCAGCCTTCCATCATGTCTTAGATGTATGTAGTCAAAATTGTTCTTGTGATTATTTCTATAAAGTTTAGTCTAACTCATGGTGTTTCTGTACAAAGATAACTTATAACAAGCACAAAAATCTTCCATACATAACCCAGATTTCTTCCAGGTACAAGCCTCATCCAGAGATCCACAAGCCCTTGGCACATTCCAATCTTTCCACCTCTTAGGAAAAGAATACACAACAACACAACAAGATATACATCACAACTGGGAGGGGGCGGGGTGGTTGGTTTGCTTTGATTACTTGTGTTTGTATTGTCACCTCCATACAAAGAAACATGCCTGTGGGCTGTCCCTTTGTATTGTCACAACTCCAGCAGGCTAATTAGACTGACTGGCTCAAGGTCACCCAGTTGGCTTTATAGCTGAGTCAAGATCTGTATTTCTGTCTCCTGAATCCAGGTCACTCTGGTTTTCGGTGTTTGTGTGATGAAATGTCTTGGTACACCTTCATTGTCCTTAATACAGGATAACTTTTTTGAAGTCCTTGCCCCTTTCAACATCTAGAAGTATGTGCACATGCATGCAAGGCTGACAAGATTTTATGAGCATTTTTGTGGTATGTAGCATTTACTCACAGATATGGATTGCTACAAACAGATCTTAGTCAACTTGTTTTGGAATGTTTGTAGTAGTCACAGTCAAGACAAAATCTTATCTGATTACCTGTTCATAAAACAGTATATACATTTGAACTCCTGGGGGTGTTGGAAGTCAACTCTTCAGCTGCAAAGAATTCATGCTAACAATCAGTTGTGCTCAATATAAGCATTTATTTCAGAATTTGTTCTTCAAAACCACAGAACTCTGTGATTGCATCCCACAAATACCATATATATTACAGTGAAAAGTAAAGTACATAGTGTTAGTTGTATGTAAAGAATATAGAAACACACTGTAAAAAGACATAAATCCCTTGTCTAAAAGATTGTACATGAAATCCTTGATTTCTAACGTCTGTGTGCTATTGTGTCCCAGGAATGTGGGACTAATGAAACAGAAACTAATAAAAGAGGGGTGGGGTGAAGAAGCTAGTTTTATGCGTAGCTTATGAGCTTGACTGAAAGGGGGAACAAAGCACCAGTCCAATGAGAAGAATGAGGGTAAATTCAGTCACAGGAAGCTTTATAATAAGCTTTCTTGGTTCCCATAAAGATGTGAGGAGGTGGTTGTCTATAGTTTCCAGGGATATTACTGTATTCAGAATCACCACCTGTCTGGCACTGAAGCAGCAGGAGAGTTAGACACAGAGACAGTAGAAGGCCACTTCCCCACATGTTTATGGATGCCATGAGAGAAGCCTTCAAGCAAGTATCATTCAGTGGATGATCCAGTGGAAATTTTATCCCTCTTCTTCCCTAGGAAGGGTAGATTGTAGGAAGGGAAACTTTTACATGTGGGGTGGGGTGGGGAAACTTTTACATCAGCAGGCCCTGGTGGTCTTCTCTGCTGGCCGGGGCAGCATCACTCTGAATCAACACCAAGCAGCTGGGAGCCACTGGTTGAATTTAGCACAATGTAGCATGGATGCAGAGCATTGAGGGAAATGCACATCAATTGGCTAGTTACCTACTTCAATAGTGTATGACCGAATGTGTTCCTGACAAAGGGGGTGTATATTCTGATAAATGGGACAGGAGGGGGAAGTGTGGACACAATCCAGCCAAGTTAGGCACTGGTCAGCCCCACAGATTTTCCTGAGCACATGCTTAACTCTCCCATCTAAAGCAGTAGAAACTACTTAGCATTTGGCTGAAATCTGTTTATATTTTGTCTTATTGAAACAGAAAGGTTGTGATCCAGGTAAAAGTATTTTTAAAATATATTGGACTTTCTGTGATTTGGTTTGCTAATACCAATATCTATTAACTTATTCCAGTGTAGACAACATTTTAACAAGATAATTGATTTTTCTAACTAAAAATAGAACATTTATCACAATGCTAGCCACATTGAACATGCTAAGAGACCACTTGGGAGTAATGATAACAATTCAGCATCGAAAATCTGTGATGGATAAATTCAACATAGCAGATAATTAACTCACAATTGCCAGTCTATACTTATGTTTGAGATTAAAGCTGGAGTCTGTTTATTGTGAAGTCAGTTGTGCTAATGCAGTCAAACCGTATGCTTTGTGACCAGCTGGCTGGCTGCATTGGCACTTTTGACTCTTAACGTTCCTGCTGGCATGGATAGCTACACCTGCAGCACAGTTCCCTGTACTGCCAGCATTATAACATGTTTTGTGGTGCTGTGATAGGACAGGTGCTGGGACAGCACAACCTCAACAGTCTTTTGTAAAACTGTTCAAGAGTGAATCCAATAAAATCACACTCGCAGTGCTACACAAGCCTATTCATTTCTACATTTAATTGCACAGTAGACATGCCATTTGTGACAAGCTTGTGGCTACAAAGTCAGGAGCAACTGATAGAAAAGCTTTGATGTCTTTTTATATTGTGCCCAAGCAAATGTTAGTTCTTAATTGCTTAATTTTGAAGTGATCTTTATGAAATTTTGATTGTGAACAAGATTTAGTTATTGCCAACCTCCACATAAAACTGTGGAAAAATAAGCATGTTTTGGTTGTTGTCCTTATAAGATTCTGATATACCTGTTATATCATTGTGCTGTTGGCTGCTATGAAGGCTTGTCATGAATGCCATACTACCACTGCTCCTTAGCAGCACAGAAATAGAAAAGAACTAGTTACAGCACATCTACAGAGGCAGGTGTAGCTTGATAAGTAAGGCTGCAAAGACTCCTGGTTGAACCCTGCCATATTGGCCTGTAGGAGGCATCCAAATAAAAGAGCAAAGGGGTGGGGTGGGGGGAAGCTGGACATTAAAAGCATGCTAACTTCACTTTCCTTTAGGAAAATGCAACTGGGATGCAAACAGGGCAATTGGTTTGGACATTTGGTAACAAACATTTGAGTGAAAACAGTTATGAGATTTATGTACAATACAAATATTTGCTAACCTTGAACTGAGGGCTCTAAGTATTTTAATAGCAACCTAAAGCCACAATACAGTAAAATAATCCATTACAAACATAAATCCTACATGTCTTCCCAGAAGTGGTTTCCCAAATCTAAGTGGACCTTATCTCCTGGCAAATGTGTATAGGAGAGCAGCCAAAGCCCAGGAAGGGAGGCTTCTGAAACAGCCGAAAAGGCAGTATCCACAACCAGAGCAAATGCCAGAATTTTCTTGTGAAAAGTTAAGACAGATGCCAGTGATTTGTATACAGTACTTTAAATTACTGTATATAAATTTATATATACATAAATTATTTAGTACAACATAAACAGGAAAGTTCATCAAGGCATCACTTCTTCCATAGTTAGAGCATCATTCCTCAGCTGTCACTTCTCAGTCTAGCCAAATTTGTGCCCCGCTCATTCACATGTTTTTAAAAATTTTATTTATTTATTTATTTATTTTTGTGCCTGGGAGAATGCTAACCTCTACTCATAACTGTTACAGCTTCTTGGACATAAGGATAACTTCATTATGAAAAGATGCAGGATGCTTAGAAAAACACCACATCATTTTAAAATTCCAGTTGTAAGCAACACTGTACTGGACTCTAGGTGGGATCCTTCTGATGGTTTAGGAAGTATTGAGACTAAACTCACTGAAAATAAAATATAGTCAAGATCTAATTCTGTTCCGGTTACGCTCAGGTACTAGAGATAATAGCCACTTGCCATCTTCCATAGGAACCTCAGATGCTCTGCCAATATCAAAAGTTCAGTTTTGCTATCTTTCCTAGTTCTCCCATCTTACTCTGCATGTTTTTCATCCACCTTCTCTTACACCTAAGCTGGGATCTGCTTGCTAACCTTTACTACCTGAAAATATACTTCAGACCATGCTCAGTTCCTGCAGAAAAGACAAGGACAAAGAGAGATGGAATAGTTTTCACCAAAGTGTTGCATAGCAAAGTATCTAGTGATCTTTTTCATCCATAAGTTCTGTAAGAACTATCTGCCTTTGTTGCAGTTCTACAGTGTTGACTTTTGTTGCTCCTCTTTGTGCTCTTCCTTTCTTTTCTTTCAACTGAGGTATTCACTGTACTGCCATCTGCTTGTCAGTTTAATCTGAGAATGACTTATTCAAGAGATGTACATACTTCTGGCCTCTTGACCTTATTAGCCCTATACTCCTAGCTGCTGCCTGTGGAAGAACATACAGAGCTACAGATATTCAGATTGGAATTTTCAGATTCTGTTTCTGTCTCAGCTTCATCAGTGGTTTCAGGAGGAGAAATGGACTCATTCATTTGATCTGGGCTCTTCTTCAACCTGCACCAATAGAAGAGTATGCTGATTACATATTTTCAATGAATGCTATATAAGTTATTATTTTTATTGGGAAGATCAAAAAAAGAAAACAAATTCAGACCATAACAAGAAAACTTACATAGATTTGAACAAATGCACATGAAGTGTCAATAAAAACAGTTATTCTTAAGCTTCAAAAAAGGCAGATCAATTGTTGTCAGTTTGCCAGGGACTTCTAAATACCACCCATTCAAATACTGAAAATATCATTAATTCTTCAATAAATTGAAGATAAGTGATAGGATGAGGTCACTTATCCTTCCAGTGTTGTAAAATCAGTATTTTTGCTGCCAAAAGGGAATGGAATATCTGTTTGCACTGACCTGTGTTAATTTCCAAGTAATGGGCAAATATGTTAAGACTGCATGTGCATCAGTAAATATTAAAAAGTATTCCAATACAAAGTTTATCAAGTATTATAATCTCCATGATGAAATGAAGCATGTGGCAGAGATGAGAGGGATGTGCACATGGAAAAAAGTTTTTATATGAGTTCTTTGACGCTCCATTAATACTTTCTCCTTCATGCATTCACTGAAGATGGAGCAGGATTATGCTGCTAACCCAATCTTTGCCATTTTTGTGCCCCTTTGTCCCAACTGCCACACATACAGCTGAAAGTCTGAAAGTGGCAACTAGATGTACACTGTCTCTTATTACATGACTGTTACTTAGTATCAAAGCTTTTTTTGATAGCTCTTTACTCCGTAATTTGTTGTGTATCCCTTCTTCCAGATCTGCCATTCCCTTCTTCACTAGTCTTTCACCAAATTCAAAAATCCAAACTGTAATCCAAACTAGGCCAGTCAAGATATAATAGAACTTAATCTTTGGAACTGTGAGACCTCCTCTCTTTTTTCATCCTGTAGGACTTCAAATCTAATCCTTGGAGTTTTGTTTTGTTTTGTTTTTCATTTCAAATAAAAATAGTTAATTGTCATTGCCAGTCTTGAAGGGTTTTTCCCTGTACTGAAATTGGTAACATCTGAAATAGGAAGTTCAACTTTGGCAGTACATTCATTTTTATAACAATTCTTCCCAACCATGAGACTATTTCTGTAAGTCATTTTGGATCCTTCTCCAGGCTGTTTTATAATTATCTTGCAATAATGCATCATTATGTCCAGTCATGTTTATTCCTAAGTACTTCACATGCTTATTTTTTCAATGTATTCTTGTTTAGTTACACACTTCAGTGTGATATTTCTTTTTTTTTCTTGTTGTGTAACCAAACTAAAATCCAAACTGTTCAGTTTTATTTCTTATATACTGGATTGATGTGGATTTTAAAATGTCAATATTATATAGCATATGAATAACCTAAGTATCTTAGGTTAAATCCTTGTGGTCTTTAAATACAAGTTTTTGATATTCAGCACATGTCTATCATTGAGCATGTCTGATGTCTCTCAGAGGAAAAGTGTAGTCCCTGACTTTTGGATTTTAAAATCTCCATAAATCTTCCCGTTGTAACTTATCCATATAATTGAAGATCGTTTTTTGGAAGTTTACCCCTTTGTTTTTTTTAAACCTGTCTTTCTTGAGATCTAAAATTCCATTCTTATCACCACAAATCAATATTTCACCTTCTGGAAATGTAATAACAATTGGAATCCCCCCACCCCCCGCCCAGAATTTCTCTTTTGCATCATTTGGAGCATCTATTCCGGTCAATGTACGTATCTTTCCATTCAGAGATCTTTTAAGGATGGTGAATCTTACATCTGGTTCCCTCAATTCTTCTATGACATTAAACTTTGGTTATTGACATAAATTACAACTCCTTTCTGTTTGGTGTCCACTGAAGCTCCATACATTCTGCCCTCTTGCTGTTTAGGATGTGGACATATTTTTTCTATATATGAGTTTCTTGAAAGCATATTATACCTGCCTTTTCTTTTTTTTTTAAGTTAAAGACTGAAAATTGTTTGGAGGGGGAGTTCATGCCATTAATATTTATTGCTAGAATTTTCATTTTGTGTTTTTATTCTAAAACTATTATCCAATGTAATGTCTTTACTTTCTTACTTGCAAGATTAATCATGCCAGATAATAATTTACAGTTACTGACGTATGATATTTCAGGGTTTGTTCGATTCATTCCATCCAAACTGAAATATACAGTCTGCCATCTTACTCTCAAATTTCACTCCTCATCTTGACCTTTGGAGTTCCTGATGTCATTCTATATTCCTTCCTCTGCTTCATGATCTCATTCAATTTCCTCATTGATTATCAAAAAGCTTGAGGATATACATAACAATTTAACTCTAAGACTACAAAAAGAAATATTTTTCCAAAATTCTTAGAGGAAGTGTTGGTACATTGAAAAAAGTAATGGAAGCGAAAAAGGGAAAAAAGAATTAGAGGGAGGGAGAAAAGAAAAGAAAAAAGGAAAAAGAAAGGAAGAAAGAAGATAGGAGTGCTGGAGGAGTAAAAAAAAAGGAGGAAAGAGTGGAATTAGTATATTTTTAATATGTTAACCTTCTAAGGGTGTTAAAGTATTTAATCCCTTTTTCTTCTATTATTGATATTAATTCAATATTAGTATAAATTAATTTATTAAAAGAATCTTCTAGTATTTCTTCTGAGTCTCTGGTCATTTGTCTGTTAATTGATCTGGTAAGAGAGCAAATATTCCTCTGTTCTTCCAGTCTAGTTTGCTTATTTCAGTTCTTTCAAATTCAGATAAGTCCTTCCCAAGTCCAGTCTTTCCAAAATCCAGCAGATGACACCAATAGTACACTTATTAGTTTAGATAAAATGTAACTACATCTTTCTCATTAAAAAATTTCTCTCTCTCTGCACCCCATAAAGTAAGAAAAGGCAGGTTAAAGGAGTCTAAAATTCTCTATTTTCACTGAGTCAAAAAGAGGGACTATCTAGGAAATACAAGTCTACCACCGCGCCCCGGCAGTCGACGCCAGAGAAGAACTATTGCGCCCCAGCCTACGCTGCGAATACTGCGCCGCTCCGCCATTCCATCACCCACCTGGCTGCTCTGCCACGCCCCTGCACGCGTTCGAGGCGTGCCGGACGAGGCGGGGCGTTGGGAGCCCAGCGGCTTGAAAGCCCACGGGGGGAGCCCAGCTGGAGCAACCACCGTGCCCCGGCAGTCGATGCCGGAGAAGAACTACTGCGCCCCAGCCTATGCCGCGAAGACCGCGCCGCACCGCACCACTCCGCCATTCCATCACCCACCTGGTTGCTCTGCCACGCCCCTGCACGCATTCGAGGCGTGCCGGACAAGGCGGGGCGTCGGGAGCCCGGCGGCTTGAAAGCGCTGGCGGTGGCCGGGGCCAGCGGCCTCGGGCGGGCGGCCAAAGGACGTCGGCCAAAGGGCGGTCGCCACCGTTTGGGGGGGCCGAGCGGGGGGCTGGGCTGGCCAGGGGGCTTTCACTTTCGCTGTGTTAGGCCCTCCTGCTGAGCGGTGAATTTTTAAATGTTTTTATAATTTTATAGTGTTTTATATGGTTTTATGGAGTCGTCCCTGGCCATGCTGCCACTTGCATTTCCTGGGGAGCGCACTGGTGCCACCATTGGGGTGGTTATGGGCAATGGACGTAACGGCGGTGGGAGCTTAACGTGTCCGCATAGAAGAAGGAGGGACAGATGGCTGACACCTTTCCCTACTTCTGGTTTTGCTCCCAGCCAGAGGGTGCCAGGGAGTCTTGTCAGTTGCCCCTCGGGCCTGACGGTGCTGTTGCTTAATGCCAGGTCGGTCAATAAAAAATCTGCCCTCATCCATGACTTGATTGTGGATGAGGGGGCCGACCTGGCCTGCATAACGGAGACCTGGGTGGGGGGGGGACGTTGCCCTCTCCCAATTGTGCCCACCCGGGTATCTATTCCAGCACTGCTCACAGCCGGAGGGGAGGGGAGGGGGGGTTGCTTTAGTTTACCGAGCCTCCATCTCCCTCACGGGACTTCCTGTCCCTTCGAGACCAGGGCTGGAGTGTCTCTACTTGGTGTTGGGTGACCAAGACAGATTGGGGATTCTGTTGGTGCACCGTGCACCCTTCTGCCCAACAGTCTCCCTGCCTGAGCTGACAGAGACGGTCTTGGACCTGGTGTTGAGGCCCCCCAGGATGTTGGTCCTGGGGGACTTCAATCTCCATGTCGAGACTGGTCTGACTGGGGCGGCTCAGGACTTCATGGCCTCCATGATGGCCATGGGGCTGTCTCAACATGTCACCGGCCCGACCCATGAACAATGACACACTCTGGACCTGGTTTTCTCGACGGGGCAGGAAGAGGGTGGTCTGAGGGTGAGGAATTTATGCTTGACTCCCCTGTCATGATCAGATCACTTCCTGGTGAGGTTTGTGCTCGAGAGCGACCTCTCCCTCTGTAAGGGTGCGGACCCGATTGTGTGGGTCCGCCCCCGGAGCCGGATGTATCCGGAAGGATTCCTGAAGGCTCTGGGGGAGTTTCCGGCTGACAAGACGGGTGCTCCTGTCGAGGTCCTGGTCGAACTGTGAAACGGGGAGATGACCAGGGCTGTAGACACGATCGCTCCTAAGCGCCCTCTCCCACTGGGCAGAGCCCGCTCTTCCCCTTGGTATACTCCTGAACTGAGGGCGATGAAGCAGGTTGGGAGACGGCTAGAGCGTAGGTGGAGGAAATCACGGGATGAATCTGACTGAACACACTTAAGAGCCCATTATCGGGCCTATGCTGTGGCGGTGAGGGCAGCAAAAAAGAGATTTTTTTCCCACTTCCATTGCCTCCTCACAATGCCGTCCGGCAGAGCTCTTTCAAGTGGTGCAAGACCTGGTTCGCCCAGGCCCGAAAGAAGATCTGATTCCACCCTCGAAGGCCCGCTGTGCCGACTTTGCCAGGCATTTCAGGGAGAAAATCGCTCAGATTCGTCACGAGCTGGATTCCACTATTGAGTCAGAGGTCTTAAGGGAGACACCAATGCTACCGTCTGGTCCAGAATTATTGGATGAATTTCAGTTACTG